GAAAGATGCTTTTACTGTTTGCTGGAAAAGAAAGAAAAAAGAAATCACTCAGCTCTTAGAAGGTAAATTCTGGATTTGCAATTTATTTGGAATCAGATGTTGGGTTCAGCTCAGCATGGTTTAGTTCAAATCAAGACAACACCAATTCTCACAAACTTCTCAGGAGATATCAAAGCACTCAGAAGTAAGACACAGCTGAGCTTTGGAGTCCCTGCTTCTAACTTGGAAATAAAGATGGAGGAGGGATTTTTGTATTTCTGAAAAATTAGAAAATGGTCCTCCAGTCAATTAAAAAAACCCAAGTTTTCAGAAATTAAATGGTTGTTATTTGCGAATTTTCTGTTTAAATCAATCTCACTACCATTAAATGGTCGCTGAAGCTCAGAACGATCAAACAAGAGACAAAAGGCCTTGTCATTAAAAGCAGTACTGTCCAGCCATGTACGTGTGAACTTACTAGGTAGGAAGCTGTTCTGCCACCTGTTCTAGTGCCCGTGTAGCACTGCTGGGAACTTCTGCCTGAATACTGGCTCAGGCACCATAGCTGAAAAAGACTTACTTCATAGAGTCTTAAACTTCTCTTAGGAAGTTTGGAAAGTTAGGCAAAGTACTACAATACTTACGAGATGTGGAGAAAGCTCTAAAAGCAACTCAAAGTTGCACTTACAGCAACAAGTGCCTGAAAGGAAGAAATCATTGGAAAATCACGACCTGAAGCATTTGTCTGACAAACAATCAGGTGCATTTTGTAACTTTCCCTCTATCTTTTCTAACTTCCCCTGTGTTAGAGTTTATTGGCAACGTTTGCCCATCTGTCAGACAAGCTAACTTTCAGAGCAGATGAAATCATGACCTTTACTTTTGTTCCTTTTTTCCCCTTTCTTAATTTCTACTCAGCTCTTCTCTTTGCTAACCTTTCAACCATTCTTGTACTGGAAAGAGGCTTCACACGCTCAGCTACAAGGCTAGAAAAGGAACATCTGTTGACTTTGAAAGGGTTGCTGCCATTCTAATATGACTTTATAAGCTCCTGTTCCTTTTTCTCTCTTACTGCAGGTGTGTTTTGTGAATTTAGACGCAAACAGAGATGACTGCAGCGATGAGCAAGTGAAACAGGTAACAGTTTAGGTTTTAATAACATGCCTGGTGGGTCTAACCAGCTATACCGGGACTTTCCAGTACAAACCCAGACCAAAATTCTGTGGACAAATGAAAGCCAGCCCTAGATTTTTAACCCTTACAGAGAGCAGTGCATCAGGAATCTGAAATTACTTCAACACTAGGTCATGTTTTATAGCTTTTCTCACTCCCATCCGAGAAACACCTAACAGATTGTTGCAGCCTGTGAATTCACAGCAGTTGCCACATGAGCAGAATTCTTGCTCAGCCTTGATTTTATCATAGAAGTGAACACAGATATGTCATACCTCCAATTTTTTAATTTGACTTAATACTACATAAAAATAATTTCTGATGCCTCTCTTTTTGACTGCCAAAAAGCCTTTGAGAGTCTTCTACTCATTTAGGTCTTGTTCAGCTGACTGATCTTACTCAGTCAAACTCCAGACAGTTTGAGTGTGTGATCTTGAGGAGGGGTCAAGATGAAAGAGAACTAAAGGTGTGTTTTACCTCTTTAACTGAAAGTCTGGAGGGTAGAAAAAAGGGATTTAGAAAAAGAGAAAAGCTTGGTTACTTTATGAACACTAAGACAAACTACATAATGATATGCTATTTAAAATACATCCCATTCAAAAAAACCCCATAAAATCTCAGGACTGAGGAAGCCACATTTTAAAGACATGGGCTGGTGTCAGTTTTAAGTTTAAATCTTCCTTTATCAGCTCATTTGCATCATCCTGTCTTGCTGCCTGTGACTGACAGAGCAGCTATGTGCTAAGCTACCAAAGGTGGGTCTCCTGGCAATACCCAGGCAGCTCCTCAGTAAAGCATTGCTGTTAGTGTGCTGAAGCCACTTTTAGCTCACGGGAGGACAACCAGTGCTGGGGCCTTGGTGCCTCTGGCAAGTCATTCATTAGCAGGAACTGCTTTTCTATGCTGTTTGTTGCATCCTGGACGTGTGAAAATTCGAATGTCAAATATGGCTTCTTGCAGCAAAATTACTTTTCTGTCAAATCAGCAGGTTAGCTGTGCAGAACAGCTTGAGATATTTAACTTCACTGAATCCACAGCAGCACTGGTTGTTCCCTAACCAGCAACTGTTTTATTGTTGTTGACAGTGTTTACGAAGGAACTAAAGCTATAGCAAATCGTAAGGAAATGCCAAAAGTTTCTCCCTCTGTCTTAGAGCCAGGTACCTGTAAAAGCCAAGGTAAAGTAGCCCCCAGGGGTGCTGCATTTGGCTGCAGTTTCTCAGCTGCACAGTTTCTGCTGCAGAGTCCACATGCTTATTAGCCACAACTGGAAGATGACGTTTTTCAGTGTAGAAGATAAAAATTTATTGCTAGTGCTGGTGCTTCAGGAAGAGGAAACTCACTCATCACAGTTTTTTCTTCTGGGTGATACAGTTTGTGTAAGTTAGCTTTGAGTGGGGTGGATTTTTATACAGCACTGATGTCATGAAATCATTTCATGGAAAAATTTTAAAGATGTTGGCACAGCTGTTGTCCATATGAAATATATAACTAATAATTGGTACCATTAGGATTTTGGATTACCCGTTGAACCTTAAAGTGGCATAAATTGGGGGTTTTTAGTGTAAGATAGTCATCTTTCCAGACTTCTCCTATTTTATTCTGAACAAAAGGTAAGGAACTGAAGGAAAAGGTATACAAAATGCCATTCTTTCCTACCTAAGAAACCTGGTAAAATGAGGCAATTTAGGCAGTGGAAAAATAGAAGTATGTAGAAAAATGTGTGTGATAAGAGAGAGCTTATAATTTGAGAAAAAAAAAGGATGAGAACTTTCCAGTACTATACTGAAATGTCAAACTGAATTGAAGCACTGAATTTAGTTATGTCAAATACAGATACTTAGCCTCATCTGAAGATCAGTCTACTGAAAAGTGAATCGTTCCCCAAAATTGAATTAGATTTGCTAAGCCAGAAAGTTTTATTACATCTAATTCACTCTGAGGAAAAATAACAGTAGTGCAGCTTATAATTTTGAAGATGAGAAGGGAAGAGTGAAGCATTGCTGGATTGCACAGTGATGAAGCTTACGGCTGGGTGCCCGAGCTCTACGGTCCCGAGGGGCTTTGCTGTTTGAGGGCTGTGCCAGCACATGAAATGGGGGTGGAACCGACCACCCCCTCCAAGGGGTCACCCCCGATTCCCAGCTCACAAAGCAAGCACACTGAGATCGCTGGCAGAGGAGAGCTGCAAGCAGTCACAGAGTAGGTGTCCTCCTTCTGGCCTGGCCTTTGCAGGCGAGGGAACACACAGGTCTCCTGCAGACGCTGGGACCTCCTCGCACCTCCTGTGGTGTACGGCATCGTTGATGTTGTGACTATCACACCCTTGGGCTCTAGCAACTGAATATCAGGCAGAAAATGGTTGTACCATTACAAATGAAAGGTCATGAGGGTGTCCAGTGGAACAGCAAAGCAAAGCACCTGTCAGCTGTGTATTAAATCCTTGCGTTATTGCATCAGTTCAAGCAGCAGTTCCCAGCTAACTTTCCCTTCAGTTCCTTGCTTGTCGTTGTGCCTGGAGGAAAATTGGAAAATGTGCCCTGTTCTCATTACCACGCTTACTGAGTCTTTTCTCTTTTAGACAAACAACAGACACAGTGTTCCCAGTCTCTTAGGAACTCACTTGTAACGGGAAGGGGCCACATGTTTAGATGCACAAATACAATCAAGCTGTTAAGCAGATGACAGCGTGAGGGATGAGAGACTGTCCTGCTGGATAGTTGTGCAGAATTGGTACTGTCACTGCTGTCTGGCCTGATGGCTCAAAAGAAATAATGTGCATTTTAATGCTACTGGTTCTATTTTTAATCAGCTCAAAATAGTAAATTCAAGTAAGCTTTCTAAAGGGATTCCTGTAAGTGGTATCCTGATATTTATAAATATAACTCTGCAACTCAGACTTCATTACCTGAGAGCAAAATCTGTCTTTCTTACTACAGAGGTTGATCAGCGTCTCTCCAAATCTCCCCAAACTCATCAGTTCGATGAACGTACAGCCACCAAAGGAAAATGAAATAGTCCTGCTGAGTGGATTAGCATCAGGAAACCTTCAAGCTGATTATGAAGTTCCCCAGGTAGGAATCAAACTCATCTCTAAGATCGCATCACACCTGTGAAGGATGGAATTTGAAAAAAGGGAAAAAGGAAGCTGAAAGCAAAGACTCTGCACCAGTTTAAGAGATCAGTGGGAGTCTGCAAACATACAAAATAAATCTAACAGAAGTCTGTTAAGTGTGTGTGTGGCTGGGGGTGACATGAAGATAGGAGAAATCCTGCTACCCCCTCTACCTCCGGTGGATGTCTGGGTGGCAGCTGATAATGCTTTAAGCCACATGAGCGGCTGATCCCTCAGGGAAGGCCTTGGTGGCAAAGGTGATTCACCAGCCCGGATTTCAAGAGCAGCAGGAGTCAGGAGGACAGCAGAGAGCAGGGAGGGGGAGATCTAACGCTGCTTCTGTGCTCACAGCTAGACTGGGGCACAGCTCTACAGACTCCTGGCCCAGCCGTGTCTTGCCGCTTCCCACTTTTGTTCCCAGTCTCCCACGCGTGCAGCTTGGGAAGGAGCTGACGACAGGACTTGAAGATCCTAAAGGCTACTGTAAGCCTGAATGTGACAGTGGAAAATACCAGGCTACATTAACCGTATCAGAGCTGATACCTCATTTAGCTTCTGCCAACCTAAAAAGTAATTAACGCACTAATTAAAACTTAACATTTAAAGGAGCTAAAGGCAAAGTACTCATGCCATCTCCTTCACTTCCATTATTGCCAGTGAAATGTTCCCAGTCTGGGATCGGAGGCCAACAGTTCCTCTTACTGGCACCACAGAGAGAAAGGAGGCAAACAGTAACATTTGCTTAAAGGCAGTTTAATATACAGGTTCCAGAAGCTTAACTCTATACTGTAATAAAAAGCTTTTTCTTCGTCTCCATTTTTATCATATTTTATGCCCATTTACATCTATGTAAAGAAAGTGAATGAAAAATACTTCAGTATTTCTTGGCCCGTTGCAGTTCCATTTATAAGGAGACTTGGGTAGTTTTCAGACAAGGATTTTTGTCCTGCTCCCCTCCTGAGCCCCTTCACAAGTACAACCCTGCTAACTGTGGACTGGAGAAACAGCGGGGAGGTGGTTGATCTAAGGCTGCGTCTGGTTTGGATAACACTTTTTGCAATATGGTGTGTGCTCAAATCTGATTCAGCAACTATTTCTTAGCAGCTAGTTCCAAAAACCCTCTTTTCAGTTTTACTTTCAACACACTAATTTATCTGATTTTCTGTTCAGACACATTTTTTTAGGTGGAAAGGAAGAGCAGCTAATAAAATGTGCTATTCCACAACATAATCCTTATCCCACTCCCTTTATTACCATATGCATATTTTACTCTCACACTTAAAGCACCTAGGAAAGGATAACGTGATCCTAAATTCTGTGCACATGCATAGGGGTTCCCAGGGCATCTTTTGCACAGCTTAAAATCTGTCACCTCAGTCCAGAGCTAGTTCCTGGGGGCCTGGGTTTGAAGGGCAAGAAGACAAGCTCCAAAGTCTTGGCTTTGCTTCTGAGTACATCCATCCCACAAACACAGTCCCATGTAGAAACACCAGCTCAGCTCTGTGGTTGTATAACTATCCTACAGGTTCAATGTCAATAAAACAAGGATAACAAGAGTACCTTTCAGTTTCTGCCCAGCTTTCAACTTAATTGTACAGCCTTTCTGGGTAAGACAGTTTTATATAAAGGCTCGGCACAGTGCACAGTGGAGCCCTGTTTCCAGTGGGAGGTTATACTGGTTTGAAATAACAGGGCTTTGGGCAAATAAGGAATAAGAGGATGATGAGCAAAGAGACAAAAGAAAACACTATTTTGAAGCAGTCTGTAGGAACATCTAAAGGTGATCTGCTCTTAACAGTCTCACCAGGCAGTATGCACAGGGCTGCCTTCAAACACGTGTTGCAACAGAAACTGTCTTGAAAAGAAGCTCACAGCCCAGGACGATTCCCTGAAGAGCCAGGTAGCACAGCGGGGTGCGAGGCTGCTGGTAACAGCGTGTCAGGTGGCTTGCTGGCAGGCCACAAAGCAAACACTCGCTGTCATGAAAACAAGAAGCTGATTGAAAACAAACAACTTGCTGATTTTGTCAAAATAAAGATGCCCCTGTGCTGCGGCTGGGTTCTGAGGAATGAAAGCTGTCAGTCCAAGCGACCTTATTTTGGTATACAGTTAACTGCACACTGCACTGCAGACCTCTACATGACAAACTGTGCTGTTTCTTTGCAGCAGAACGTTCCTGAGATATTTATAGAGAGGGAAGCTTAAAATAAGGCTTATGTTTTAATTCAATAACTATTTGAGATTCTTATCCCCTCCAGTGTCCTTGGCTGGCAGATGTCTGCTTGGTTCAGTGTGCGAAGGGGGACAGGAAGAACAGCGCAAGCTGCATCATTTTCGAAATAAACAAGTTTCTGATAGGACTTGAGCTCGTTCAGGAGAGACAGCTGCAGACAGAAGCTCACGTCTTAAAGCCCGAGGATGACACAAACTGCTCTGTGTCCTCAATAGAAGAAGATTTCCTCACAGCATCCGAGCACCTTGAGGATGAAAATGAGGCTGATGAATATAAAACTGGTAAAAGCAACGGGACCAAGCGTTAATTCTGCTATTGTTTGTGCTGCAAGACAGCCATGGCAATGCTCTCAGAAGCAGCGCTCTTACTGTTAACTCATGCACATGTTTAGTTGTAATTTAGAAAATGGCCAGCCATTCATGCTGCTAAATTGCTGTTCAAAGGGGGATACGTGGTTGTGCAGTAGTTGCCTTACGCAGCTGTGCAGCCATTTTCTTCTTAAAGCTACAGGCTACTCTGAAAAAACTCATCTCTTATTTTTCTTTTAATAGGTCATGAAAAATTAAGTGTTTCAGAAGCACCTTCAGATGTCAAGAAAAGTAAAGGAAAGGGATTTGAAAGTCTCTACTACAGAAAAGCCAGGCTGCCATTCATTCCCGAAGGGAGCTGCGTTACTAAAGATAATGCAGCTCCCAGAGTCTCTGAAACTCTGAGTGTTGTGGCTGAAGATGGCATCTTAGAACCTGAAGATAAGTCAGACCAGAAAACACTGCCGCAGAAGGAAATAGCTAGAAGAGCTACATTGTCCTTTAGTACTGCTGATTTGACTACCGAGGTTGGAAATTCCTGCTCGGTGCATGTGTTAGAAGACACATCTTTAACCAAAATGGCTAAAGAGGAGCTGGGGCCTCTCTGTGACCCAGCAGCGAAACACAGTGGCAAGACAGACAGGGAGGATTGTGCAGGTATCGGGAAAACTGATCCTCCCTCTCAGAACGAGCCGGCGACCACAGGTCAGTATGCCACAAATTTGGCAGAATCTGTTCTGCAAGACGCATTCATTAGGCTGTCACAGTCCCAACCTGCTTTCAGTGAGGAGGCTGCAGTCAGCATCTCCGTAGGAAGCTCCTCTAAGTCAGAAGACGCGTCTGCAGCCCGTTCGTGGAATGAGCTTCCGAAGATCGTCATAGTGCAAAGTCCAGACAGCTCTGAGAACGTGTCTGACTGGCCAGGATCTGCCTTCCCCAACCTGTGCCACTGGACGGAGTCAGAAAGTTCTGCTGAAGTTTCAGATTGCCTTGAGGAAGAAAATTCCAATGGACATGGCCAGAGCGCTCTGAAGACGCGTCTGCAGCCCGTTCGTGGAATGAGCTTCCGAAGATCGTCATAGTGCAAAGTCCAGACAGCTCTGAGAACGTGTCTGACTGGCCAGGATCTGCCTTCCCCAACCTGTGCCACTGGACGGAGTCAGAAAGTTCTGCTGAAGTTTCAGATTGCCTTGAGGAAGAAAATTCCAATGGACATGGCCAGAGCGCTCTGGGGCTTGCCCAGCCACTGTTATTGGAACCATTTCCAGTCCCCAGGCCACAGAAAAATTCCGACGGGATCAAGAAGCCACAGACTCTAGAAGTGGAGCAGCTGGTAACGGCGAGGTACACACAGCACCTTCACAGCTACGCGATGACTGCGCTGGCACGGAATACTCATTTCCATCTGCACTGTGTGGCATGACTCAAGTAGCAAGTGCTGTAGCCGTCTGTGGCCTGGGGGAAATGAAGGAGGAGAGGTACCCTGCAACTTCCAGTGGGCTTCTGTCTGCTGCTCAGACTTCTGCTGCCATTACTCTGCACTGCAGCATCGCCGCAGGAAGCAGCATGGAGAAGCTAAATGACAGCATTGCAGAGGCACTTCTCAAAGAGGCATCAGTAATTCTGACAAAACCCAACACGTACAAAAATGTAGGACATTTTATGGAATCCATAAATGGAAAAATTATTGAAACAGCAGCAAGGCCACGGATTCCACACACCGATGAAGTAATCAGGGATGAACTTGTGCAAAACGTATCAAATATTATTCTACGACATTCTATTGAAGAGGTTAGGAAGAAGAGACAGCTGCATCCCAGTTCAGAAGACAGCCTAAATGCACCAGACGTTTTCATGGAGACTGCAAACGAGTTGCTTTTTAATATAATGTATTTCACTTGCAAGAAGATGAATAGCATAAGACAGGTTGAAGAGTGTTCTCCTGTCTTTTCTGAGGTCACAAAAGCAGAGAAACCAACACGAGCAGAAGCATGGTCAACACAGGCAACAGCACATGAAACTTCACACAGCGCCCTTGATCACTCTGCTGTGAAGCCATTTGGTACACCCTACAGCACTAGTGCTAGCAAAGATCTTGGAAGTGCCACGAGCACCGGGAAAAGTACTATGAAAGCTGCAAATAGCAAGGAGAGTGCCACACTGAATTCAGAACCAACAGGCAGAGCTACAGGGCATAATAACGCACTTGTCGCAAAAACATCTCCCAAGAAAAGATACCTGAAAAGAACCGCACGAGACTGTTACAAATCCCCAAACCATAGTAACAGTCAACAGAAGAAGAAAGACTCCAGATCATTTTCAGACAGAGAAAACGCCTTTGCAAACGATGACTGCAGGCACGGTGTGCAAGAACAGCTGTCTTCCAGCACCACCGTGAACGTGGAGAACCAGGCCAAGCACAAGTGCGACCCTGTGCTAAACAACGATGTTCAGGTTAGCTTGTCTTTGGTAGGAAACCACGTCTTGCTTCCTTCTCAGCCTGTGCTACAGGTGAAACACTCAAGGGAGAAATACTGCATAATGGATTTTGCAGAAGAATTGGCAGAAACAGTTGTCTCTATGGCAACCGAAATAGCTGCCATTTGTCTTGAAAATTCAAATGGAAAGCAACCCTGGTTCTGTGCGTGGAAGAGAGGCAATGACTATCTGGTGACCCAGAGTTTATCCTGCAGAAGCATGAAAAGGAAGAAGGAAAACCATGCTAACGGATCAGTTGTTCGGAAGCACAGGGCACCCCGACTTAGTGAGATCAAAAGGAAAACAGATGAGCATCCCGAGCTAAAGGAAAAATTGATGAATCGGGTAGTGGATGAATCTATAAACCTTGAGGACACACCAGATTCAGTCAGTATCTTTGCAAATGAAGTGGCTGCCAAGATAATGAACTTGACCGAACTCTCCATGGTTGACAGCATCTGGCAAGGTCCAAACCACCCCAGGAACAGGCTTCACTGTGAAAGATGGAGCCGAGCCAAGGCCTCGAGCTGTGAGAGCATACCGGAGGAAGACTCGGATTCCAAAGCCTCTTTCAATACCCTCGGCCTGACGAACACCTTGGGTCAGCCTGTGAGCCGGACAAGTTCTGTCTCAAAGCAGTCGAGCTGTGAAAGCATTACAGATGAATTTTCAAGATTTATGGTGAACCAGATGGAAAATGAAGGAAGAGGTTTTGATTTATTACTGGATTACTATGCAGGAAAAAATGCAAACAACATCTTAACTTCTGCTTTGCAACAGGTAGCAAAGAAAAATGGGCATCTTAATGTAAGACCAAGTTGCCCATCCAAACAGTCCAGCACAGAAAGCATAACAGAAGAATTTTATAGGTATATGCTAAGAGAAATTGAAAAGGAAAATAAAGATAACACCTCTTCCCCTCGGAATTCAAAGGACTGGTGTGACAGTTTGCTGCCGCCCTCCCTGCGATCACCCTTTTGCTTCAGGCAGTCATCAGTGCCTGACAGCCGATCATCAGGCTCTAGGCTAACTGTGAATGTCCCAGTTAAGGCAAATTCATTAGATGGATTTGCCCACCATCACCAGGATTCCTTAAGCATACAGCCTGTCAGTACCATGGCGTCTTCAGGCCTTTGCAAGTCTGACTCGTGCCTGTACCAGAGATGCAGGACTGACCAGATAACAGATATGTTGATTCACGAGACGTGGGCAAGTTCTATTGAATCCCTGATGCGCAAGAACAAAATCATAGGAGATGAGGCCGAGGCTGCGGAGACAGAGCAGCTGCACAGCGACTCCCCACCACACGTGGAACAATATGCAAACAGACTGGCTGCAAATATTGTTGAAAGTGGTAAAAATCTAATTGTCGTCCAGCAGGATTCCTTTGATTATACAAGCCGAGAACACGCGCTGGAAAGCAAACCCCCACAAAGTGCAACTGGGAGTCCATCAAAAATCAACAGGGATGGAGCAAACGTGGATGAGAAAAAAGAGCCTCTGAGGAGCCCTGTATGCCTCCCTGCAGGTCAGCACAGGGAAGTGCCTTTAATTCAGATAGAAACCGATCAACGAGATCTGCCAGATAAAGATGCAGAGTCCTTCACTTCACATGCCCCCTCTGTAAAGGAGCATCAAAGCAAAGACAAGCCTCTGGAAGGTTTTGGTGGGAAACACACAGTTTCCAATTCCCTACTACATGGGTAAGTGACAAACCAGCAAATCTGCACACTGCTTTGGTGTTTAATTCCCCAGTGCAAATATTTGGATAGAGGAAGAAGGTAAGAAGAGAAGCACTTCCAAAGAAATAAACAGGATAAGTTCTGACTACAGGTTTCTAATGGCATAAAAATCACCCCATTGTGTGTCACTGTGTTGATTTCAGAGCAAACTGACGCTGAATGTGACAGCACTGTGGTTCTGAGATTCAAATCCAACACGGCACAGACAAGTCAGTTTTCCCTCTGTGGATATTTAAGTCTTCCACAGCTGAGACAGGAAAGATGGAAAAAGTTTGAACTTTCATTTAGTGCTAGCTGATGCCCTCAACTGAAAGAAAAAAGTCAGTATTAGTGTAGTGTAAAACAGACGACAGCAGAATTTGACCTGTATTTCTCTGCTATCCTCATTCATGTAACTAATGCTTCGTGTGCCTGGAAACAAGACCATACTTCCAGCTTTATTTGCAGGCTGGAGTTATAAGTAATAGAAGTTCTTTAAGTGGAGGAAATAAAATAGTAATTAAAAGTACCCCTTTCCATCTCTGATTCAAGACTGCTCTGGTAGAATTTAGATAGAGAAAAGGATTTTAATTTCAATTTATTTCACGGAGTTTATGCCACAGCTCACGACCTTCTCCAAACAGTTGTACTCCTTTTGTTGAGAAATCCAGAACTGGCTTTGGCTAAGGCAAAGTGTCAGCCCAGGATGTGAGTGCAGCGTGAATGTCGAGGGTGGCTGGGGATGCGATGAGGTTATGAGCAATGATCTCTCTCAAGGCACAGCCTATTTTTAACTCTACTTCATTGTATCTGTTACTTTAATGGTATCTAAACTGCCAATCACTTGGAGCAGTGCAGCACCCCATTATCTCTGAGGTCTAGAAACCGTTCAGGTGCCAGTGCTAGAAACCATTTTGTAGCTCACTGTGTTCTAGGCAGGGCTGTGTTTTGGCTTTTGACAAAGCTCTGCTTGAAGTGAGAAAGCCTGTACTTCCCTGCGGAGGGCTGCAATTAGGGAGATAATTATCATAGTGCCACTATTCTTTCATACTAGTATTCTTTCCCCCACTAACCTTCTCTTCCTTCAATTGCAACCTGCTTTTAATAAGATGCATTTAGCGATCCTCCTATTTGGAATCCTGACTGTTTAAAAATGAAGCTATTTTCACACAGTTCACGAGCCCTTTAGTAACAACTTTTCCTCTGCCGAGTTCCCGAGGTGGCCATGGGAAGCTTAGAGCAGCTGGATTGGTAGGGCAGAAGTAGCAGCCAGAGGCTGCATCCCCCCAAGCAGGGGCAGGGCTGCAGGGCACGGTTTCCTTTGCAGGCACCAGCTTCGCTCGCCATGCACCATGCAGACAGCTCTAAAAGCAATCTCAGCTAGAAGCTGCACCACCGAGTTCCAGATGTCCTTGTGGCCCTGCTGGGAAGCAAAGCTTCCAGGGGCTCTTCACATGGATTTGAACCACTTCTGGCATGGCTGCCTGGACCAAGTCTAGGCTGAAGTAAAACCCTAAAAACATAAGTAGTATAGATAAAAAAGCACCAGCACCAATTGCTTTGATCCGCTCCTACCGCATTAAATTACTTGCTAGTATAGCTACAGGCAGCTGGGACTCCAGGCAAAATATCAAGCAGACTTACAGTCCATTGGAAAAAAAAAAAGCCATCCGTGCAGGCCTAGGGAGGAGGCCTCCAGCAAGGAAGGAGAGTCGTTCTTGGAACGGAGGCAGTGCAGTAGACCCAGTCCTCTCCCAGACACGCCAGAACCGTTCCAGCTGACTGCTCAGAAGTCAGGAACTGTCAGTTCAAAGCATCACTAGTCTGAGATGTAGCTGCATAACCAGACAGAACCGGGCACGCCAAGTAACAATGCCCACAAAAATCTCCCGTGTTTTGGGCCAAGCACCAAGTGCTCCCTGCCCCACACGTGAACCCCGAGTAAGAGCAGCGCCCTGCGGGCTGGCCGCTCAGCACCCTCACGTCACGCCAGGCGATGCGCCCTGTACCTGCCGTCAGCAGGGCTGATGGGCACGGACCCACAGGGCTGGCCAGGCAGAGCAGGGGCCTTGGACAGAGCAGTCCCTGCCTGCCTGTAGAGGAACCTGCTGCTCACTCTAGCATCCGGCATTAATGTAACTTCTCCATTGTCCTGAAAGCAAGAGCATGGCAGAAGGAAATCTCTGCAGTGACCTCGTCTCAGCATATTAATACTGCACTAAACTGTAAATTCCATTCTGATTTTTTGTTTGTGTCTGCCTTTGAGGGAGTGTGCATATACATATGTGTCCTATAAATACGCATGTGTGACGTGTGTCAAGGGTGCAGAATTATAAATCGCTTTTCCCTTAACCCTGTGTTTTCTAAACTCAGTCTGGGATCCACATTTGGTCTGGTTTCTGCCTAGCAGCTGCACCCCTGCCTAGAAAGAGAGCAAACAGTTTATCCTTCCTCAACATAAGCAGCAAAGACTCTGAGAAACACAGAAGGCTGAGAGTCATCAGTGACACACAACCCATGATACCTTCCTACATCTACTTCTAGCCTTTTGCATCTAAAATGCTAACAGAGTAGAAAACCCTGGCAGGAAACTTATTCATCCATTAGCAGGACAGGGATTTTGTGGCAACACAGATGCCTGAGAAATGCTGCTGCTCTGCACTAACATCCACCATATATTTCATCCACTGGTCGGCTGAGCTGCATTAAGCAACAGGCCTATGCAGTGAGCAGTTCTTTTTTGTACAAGTTGAACATTTCCTACACACAGTTCAGTATAAGCTTCCTTTGGTTTGCTTTTGTTTATAGCAGTCTTAGGAAAATACTTTTTAAAGACCATCTCAGACCACATGTTCAGCTGGACTTCACTTACAAAGTATAAGTTTGTCCAGTCTCTTATATCTGTATAATTTTGCAGCTTGCTTGACTTGAACAAGCAGTATTGCCCAGGGACCAGTGGCACCAGTTTGCTTGCCTGTACTACAGTATCAATGTGCCTTCCTTCTCACCCTGCCAACAGCAGCCCTCAGAGCAGAGTGGATGCCGAGATCACAGGAGAGACAAAACCATCTGAAGAATTCCCAAACCACCTCAGCAGCAGTGAGGAAAGCTCTGGCAGCTGGTCCCAGCTAGCTAATGATGAGGACAACCCCGACGACACAAGCAGCTACCTACAGCTCAGCGAGCGATCCCTGAGGTACCCACATTGTCTGTTCTCAGTACACAGTATGATCTAGGCAGCCAAGGCACTGATTGGTCTGCTGTGCATCAGGAATGAGGGCAACCTCTTCAGAAATATTCAGGATGCTGTAACGAAAGCCTAACGACAGAGCTCATCTCTTTATTTTTATAAAAGGGGAAAAAAATGGGCCACATTCTGGTTCTCAGCCAGGTCTATTACTGGGGAGCAGCTAGATTCAGACAAAGAAAAAACTCCTGGCAGCACTCGTGTGCCTCAGTCCTCCAGTGAAAGGGCCATCGGACAAGGTAATGCCTATGGTCTTTCCTTTGAGTTATTTGCTACTATTTGCATAATGTTTATTCTGGCATCTCCTTAGCCGAGATTGACAAGACTGCTGTTCCCACCAGGTGTCTGTGCATGGAGAGCAGGGGCAGAGCCCTGAGCTGTGTAGACTGGTACAGGGAAGCAGATCAGCAGAGGGTGTCCAAGTTCCCCCTGGACAGGCATAAATTCCAGAGCTCCCCTTGCAATGTGCTGCTTTTTGTCCCTATTCAATTCAGGATGTGTGTTTAAAAATGTTTTCTAGTCCTTGGAGTGTGTATAAAGTGATGTTAGTTTGACTTCAGCCATTTCATGACTCTAATTGAGCAAGGGTTTTTCTTCACATGCTCTTAGATTAGGTTTTAAACCACTGTCACATAATTACATCTTTCTCATGGGTATTGAGTCGACAAGGAGGAAAGACAGAGCAGTAATGAAGCAGGGAAGAGAAAGAATCTGTCAGAGAGCACTGCTGGCTAGCTGAAAAAAACACAGAACAAAATTTGTCTGTCAGTGTGGGTGAACATTCATCCCATTATTAGAGTGCTGAAGCGTTTGTGCCTTTTGGCTCTGCACTGAAAGAGAAACGGCCACAGCAGGTCTGAACACGTGGTGTGTGACACTGACCAGGAAAGGGATGCTCTAATCAATCCTCCTTATCTAAGGAAAAACAGCGTTACTTGTTTTTCCAGTCAAAACCAAGCAGTTCACCACACAAAACTTGTGTGTGCTGACTGACTTGCAGACAGCACATTCACAACCTGCTCATGAGACTATTGCAATAGCTGCATAATCATTCACTGTCAAATATACGGTGATGTTATAAAGTGAACTTTTTTTTCCAAATGTTCTCAGTTGTAATACCTAATTCCTGTGAAGAGGCCAAAGAGAATAATTCTGTGTATTACTGGTCCCAGTGAGCACTGGCTATAATTAAAATCTCAGAGTAGTCAGAAACATGAGGGGCCGTCACTGTACCAGTGGGTTCCCTGGGGTCCCTCGTAGTGTATATCATGGAACACTCCAAAACTACTGCTGGTTACAGACACAGAGTCACCCAGAAGGTCAGTAGCAGGATGGGTGACCCAATGCCTTCCTGTAACTCACCACGTTCAGAGGTAACTGAATCTCTGCAGGTTTTTTCCAGGACATCTCTGTACCTGATAATCATGCTTCTCAAGGACTCACACAGACTGGTTTTCTGTTTGAGGCCAAATGTTCATTGCATAAGGCATTCACAAGAAAATAGCCAGTTTGTTTTTTTTTTTTTTTCCCCTCCAGTTTACAGCATCAGTTGATACATGCTCTGCCTAGAACTACTTTAATAAAAGCCTCATTATTTTGAACAGATTAGTGTGCTTCATCCTGGGAATCGCTTGTTGAGCACAATTGACTTTGCGGAACTCTGCGTAACAGTGGGCAGCCTCCTCACTTTGCTTTGTACATAAATAAATCACAAAAAGATGTATGGAGACGTGTTCAGTGCAGCTTGGCACTAATATTTAAACTTTTGCTTTGTCAGCAATGGCAACAGCAGTACCACTAGCAGTCTTGGCATTATGGACCTGGAAATTTATCAGGAGAACGTGCCATCTTCTCCTGTGATTAAGTAAGTAGTCACTGAAGTGAGACTCGCTGTTTAGTCTAATTTTAACTGCAAGTCATTTACACCATGCAGAACATGCCAAGCCCTGCTCCGCGCCTGCTGCGGAGCCTGCTGTTCGGTTCGGAGGAGAGCACGTGCGGGCGCCCGTGCAGAGTGACAGCACCACACAGGGAGACACTACAGGAAAGCCCACCCAGGTGGGCCTCAAGAGAATATGGCTCCGCCAATGGCTCTGCCTAAAAGACAATTTTGTGTGATAATAGTTTCCCACTGTGAAAACTTTCCAAATAACTTCAAGTATTATCAAAACCTTACTGTAATAGCAAGTAAGGTCAAGCAAATAAGGTTCAATTAAAGTCAAAGGAAAAAAACACAAGAGCATTCTTTCCAACAATAATAATAATAATTTGGCCCAAACTACATCTTACCTATAGTCTCTGTGCATGTTTCTACTGCGCATGCAATTAAATTATCAAGAGATGTGCAAGTACCTGCCTAAAGATTCTGGTACCCTGAAGCCTGGTGTCAGCTGGCGAAGGCCACAGTGCAGTCAGGGCACGGCCACCGTGGAGCGCACAGACCACACGAGCCCTGGGAAGTCGGTGACGTCAGGAACTCTACACAGCTCGTTACCAGACAATACTACATCCGTCCTGCTTTCCAGAGGTGCTTTTTGAGAGAGAGAGAGACCTGGGCATTCATATTCCTGTAGTTACACGAGTTCTCTCTCAGCGGCCAGTTCTGAGACGGACCTCATTAAAATGTTCCCATCTCCGCAGTAGGCAGCATTACCTCCTACACACATTCCTAATGATGCCCCCTCTCCCTTGTATTCCAGGGACCAAAGGGATAAATTTCCGAGTTCCCTTGTTAGCTTCCAGGGATATTCTCAGGTGTAGCCCAACAGGCGTGAGAAGTTCGTACTCCCACAAATCAAAGTCATGTAATACATCTGCTGTTCAGATAGAAAACTGGAAATAAATCTGATGGGAAGGACATTATGAAGCAGCTGTGATTCTGAGTCATGACAAACCCTACACTGCATGCTGCCTTTTCACCCTTCCCTCTCACATCTTGCAGTCACCACTACACCAATCTTGGGGGAGATTATGCAATCCTGTGAATGAGGGTGGTGAAAAGCAGCGTCCTCCCACACCAGAAACAAAATCTGCGACTTGCAGCATTCCCTCTGCTTAAGGGCAGAACAGGACAGTCTGGAAACATGCAAGTGCTGTCCCTCTAGGAGTGAGGAAAGCGAGTGCTATCGTGTGAGATCAGTCATGACTTTGCAGTCTCCTCCCACATGTACGTGAGTGTGGAGGCTGGGTTCAGAAAGGGAAGCTGAGGCAGTGACCACATGCCTGGGGCTTGTTTTCTGTAGTTTAAGAAAGAGATGGTATGTAAGAAATTAAGATCTTTAGAAAAATTTACAAGGTGTAGACAGAATTTGTTTATCCAAACAGCAATATATTTAAAACCAGCAGTAGCTGAAGTCACTGGTAGTTATGACTGACTTTAACTATCAGAGATGAAACTCGGAAGCATGACTGGGGAAGGTTCAGGGAGTGCAGCACTGCACACACAGATGTTGGAGGTTCAGTCTTTCTGCCCAGGTTACGTGGGACTCGCTGTGTCTCACCATAAAGACATTTCCTTGTCCTGACATAAGCTGCAGAGATACTCAGATCCTGGTGAAGTGCAATACACAGTGCAGCCGGTACAAGTACTTCATCCCATTACAGGGGTAATGCTGCAATTCCCACAGCTCATCCTGATTCACAGATTAAATAAATGAAATCTATTCAGCATTTTATTTCATCCTATGTAACCTTTTTCTTGCAGTTCTCTAGGTCTTGTGTTGAGGGAGAAGTTTACCCACCATGAAGCAATATTGTAGACTGTTCCTAAATATCACTAATAAGTTTTGTTGTTTGTTTCCAAGTGAATTAGTAGAAGAAAAGGTTTTCCTTAAAGAACAGACAGAAAATACGGAGGGTAAGTCGAATCATATCAATTAAAGCAGAGAATTTGAAGTTAACACAAGTAATTTCTCAGTAACTGTTGGGATTATTTTTCCAGAAAGTACTTCTGCGCTTTCAGTGGGAACAGCTAATTGTCAGAAGGACCTGCTGGTGATAAACTTTGATCTGGAACCAGAGTGCCCAGATGTGGAGCTACGAGCCACCCTGCAGTGGATAGCTGCTTCTGAGCTGGGCATTCCAACCATCTATTTTAAGAAATCTCAGGAAAACAGAATTGAAAAGGTACTATTAACAGAATTGGGCATACTGTTAATTCACTTTAATCACCGCAGCAGTGATGATTTATTGAAGTCACTGAGCTTAAGGGCAGATGCAAAAGCATCTTCATTACAGCAAGACAGCAATGCTACTGTTTGTTGCAGAGCAGGAGGTACGTGAAATATTTAGTAGCTTCTCCGTGGTACAAGAAACAGTATGGCCACAAGACCTTCTCCAACACCTCTGTAACATGCTTTGATGAATCTATTCACATTTTCATGATCAACGCCCAAGGCAGAATTAACAGAGTCCTTTGGAGGGTTGCAGATGCCTTACATGGAGTTTAGGCATGTAGCTTAAAAAATAAAACTCACAAAGTTCTGCTACTTGGTGACACTAAGAGCTGACTACCATGTGAGACATACATTGGGGTTAAGATTTGTCAGATGGAAATCCTTTTGTCCTCGTGGCAGTTCTGCCCTGCCTGTTGTGCTGCTGTGGGCACCGTGGTCCAAGCTGCCACCCACCGCTCATGGGGTACTGGAGCCAGGACACTGCCAGGGTCCTCTCGGCTGCTCCCACCACACCAACCACGGCCAAATGCCTCAGCTTTGTCATCAGGTAGTGCTGGCAGAGCAGGGGTCACTGCTGCTCAGACATACAGAAGAGACTGACTGCAAAATAAGGGCAACCTGACTTAGCTCAGGTTCACTGTCTGACGTTACAGGACTACAAGGCTTTGGCACCGGAGCCGATGGAGAGTTTGCAGGACAGGCAGGATGGATCTGCCTCTGTTGGCACGTCCTTACAGCGTTACTGCCCCGAGAGGCAAGCTTAGCCCAGGCAGTGGCCAGGCAGTGTTTCCAGTGGAGCCATGTCTGCAATCACACACCTGACACTTGGAAAATAGACTGACAGAAATATTTTGCATCATTATACGGACGTTATGAAGCACCTCCTCAGTCTTAGCAATAAGGGAGCACTGTGTATGTCAGTACTCTCTTGATCCTGCTCCTGTGTTGCTTACCCCTGCCAACCCTCATTTTGAGAGCAGAGAGACAGACACAGAGACTGAACTGAGAAACCTTGTGAGGTGCAATTCCAAGGCAGAGCACCGGGAGCACCACGGACATCCAAAGCAGCCATGAGAAGCGCAGACTGTTTCTATTCCCAAGTGATAGTTAGTGCTCCATGGCAAATGCTACCAAATGCCACCCACAGCACTTCAGGAATGACCAAAGCAGCCCCATGTCCAAGGTCAGCAAGAACGGCTCAAGCCGTAAGCTTACAAAAAGCATGGCAGCATTCAAATCAATTAATGACAAAAGTATTACAAATCAGTATTTTGGTCTTTAATGGGAAGATCATTTTGAGTAGAAGAGATATTGTTTGATTTTCTTGAGTGCATGCATTTGGGAATCATAAACATCATTTAAAATGCATTCAGCAGCAGCAGCCCAAATTGTGTCTAATTAAAGCAGCAGCTGTCAGCTTTACTCACGTGCTTTGACAGACACTTAATTCAATTGCAAAAATACGCTGGAGAATAATGAAGCACATCCTGCCGACGACAGGGCTCTTGGAAATCGCGTGCCTATTAAATATCATTAAAATACATATTAAAAGTTTAGGCTTCAGTATGTAAATAGCAAACAGCTACACTAACTGGAGACACACAATATTTTCTTGCGTGGTTTAAAACTTGAAACGTCGAAGGACCAAGCTAATTAGATATTGATTGGGAAATTCAAAGAAATGAAAAGCTTTGATTTCCATCTCTGCGCTTCAGAAAAAAAAATGGGACCAGATGTATGACATTGTGAAGCCCATCATCAAGTACAAAGAGGACAGAATTCAGGATTTTTTTACAGCTGCTTAAGATCATGTTTAACCTCCAGTTTATCTGGAATGAAAAAAAAAAAAATCAAATATACTCTGTGATTCAACCACAATTGCGGCAAATATCTTCATGTGAGAGAAGTTTACCCAGAATTCCCTCTCAGCAGTACTATGTGAATATTTAAAATACTATGAGATGTATACATGCAAGTACAGAAAGTTAAATATAGGTTAAAATACAGCCAGTGGTAATGAAGGGAGGGTGTTCTGGTTTGTTCCTTTAAGATGGATAGCTGCATTTCTGTTATTTTGACAGTGAGCTGTCAATAACAAGGAAAGCTGCGATCCTTTATCAAGCTCACTTTCACTGTTCTTACTTCCATCACAATAAATAAGAAATAATTGATGAGAGAAGCCAATTTAGAAAACATCACAAGAAACAAGTGGTCTTTGGGGAATATGGAACTTCAGAAATGAAGTTTTACTAACTGGCAGAACCTTTCTGTTGCTGCACGGTGAATTGTGCCCGTTTAGAAAGGTGCTTCCGCAGCGGTTTGTGAGGATTCATTTAACAAAACCTTTGCAAAACGTTGCCCAGTTCCTAAGTGTATTTTGTTTTGTTCATTTGTTTTTTTTGTTTAGTTTCTAGATGTTGTGCAGTTAGTCCAGCGGAAGTCCTGGAAGGTGGGGGACATCTTCCACGCCGTGGTGCAGTACTGCAAGCTGAGCGAGGAGGGCCGAGAGGCCACCCCCAGCCTGTTTGACTGGCTTCTCGAGCTGGGTTAAGGGCGCTCAGCTCCTGGGCGTTTCTCTTTCCTTCCCGTTGAAGTGGGCAGCGGTTTGCGTAGCGCTGGGATTTCTGACCATCACTGACTGGAACGGGCAAAGGTCTGTACAAACTCCACGGGAACAGCATGCGCCCGTGCCCGCCGCACGCGGAGCGGAGCAGCCCAGGGTGTCTTGTGTCCGTCTGCACCGCCGGGGGCTCGGGGCGTGCTGTGCCACGGCACAGGGGGCTCTGGACGAGAAACACGTCGATTCATAGGCCTCTGAACTAACAGACTGCACAGTATAGGCTGAAGTGTCTAGTATGTTCCACTTTCATCAATTTGATTAAATCAGCTAAAATGGGATAGCATACTAACATTCAGTTTTAGAACACCAGTATTAGTACAGTTTAACTATTAAAATCAGAGTTTGTTCCACAATCCTGGAGACACCCACGTCCCTAGAGAAGTAATTATTTTTTTCTGAAATCCCCATACTCTGCCAAGGGGCAAAAGCTTTTGAACACGTAACACCTTTACAGTTAGACAACACAATGAAAAGATGCTGAAAAGACATTTTAGTTTCTTTCTGTGTGACTACTTGCCTTTCATAGCTGTTCCCGATTGCTGTCCATTTCTCAAGTAAATGAAGCCCAGGCCATGGGTTACAGCCCTTACAAAGGTCCCTCCTCTTCCCTCAGAGGCAGCTTGGCATAGCTACACCTGGTACATACTGGCCACAGCTCTGCCAGTTGGGCAGCAGGTCTCCAAGCCCTGCCCCACTGCAGACCTGCTGCAAGTCACTTCACCTCTGTGCCTCAGTGTCCCTGCCCAGTAAGAGGGAGTCACGAAAGCACACTGCTACTGTTTAAAGCACTCTGTAACATGCTACATGACAGTTCAAAGCAGTGAAAAAAAAAAAAAAAAAATTAATTTTTAATCAAATAAATGGTTAAAAAGGTGAAGAAACCTGTGTGAAAAAAGTAGCTTCTAACCATAAACATTTTGGAAGTTAGGTAAATTAACATTAAGAACACAAAAAGATGGTTAGAATTTAATCAGACATACTTGTTCACTTTGGATATAAGTGTCTGGACTACATGTGACAGTTCACATCACTATAACACTTCTGTAACTGTTTGCTAAGACATACTATGGTATCGTCCTGTTGAGATGATCTGTTGGTATCATGTACTTAGTGATATGCTCTCTTGAGTCTGCCAAAGAGATTGGTTTTGAGTTAAAGGCAAATATGACTTAGCACATCATAGCTCTCCTGCAATTTCTTCCTTTGAAAATATTTCTCTTTCATCTCTCCCTACCCAAGTAGTGCAATAGAAAACCTTCCTGCTTCTCCCAATAAAATATTTATGAGATCTTTTATTTTTCCATATAACAGTATATGCTTCAGTAATATTTCTTGGGGAAAAAAAACCCAAACCTGTCCTTTTGCACTAAATATTTTTGAAAATTTTGAAGTAGTTTTAAATAAATTATGAAAAAGAGCCATACTCCCAACTTTATCTTTAAATATGTTCCTAAAATTGCATGATTGCATCGCTCATGTGTTACAAGGCAGGGACTGCCAGTGAATGAAG